ATCATGATTATCGTGATCACCTGATCACCATGACGACCATCATCATTTTCATTACTACCTTAAGGATGGATTCATAATTACAAATAAATTGTCCACAACCTTGACAAACACTAAAACTCAAATTACCTAATAATATTTACAAAATTGCAATTTTTACCTCAGCGACCACATTGGGGAATATATTACAACGGTCACACTGTTCTTTATGGTCATGATCACATTGGGAAATGTAGTCTTTGTCGCCGGGACAGCTCAGAGCGTACTTCTTACAGTGATCAGGTACTGAGGAATCCTGGGAAATGTGAACCTGTCCAGAGAGAAAACGTATGAAGTGAGCCGATCCGTCGTGTGTGTGTGTGGGGTGGAGGTTGGGGGGGGGGGGGAGTAAAGCATATATAATTTATAAGAAATAAAATGTTTATTGTTCTCGTAATTTATCGTCTAACTTGTAGTTGTTTAATGTTACCCTTACAATATTATTAATTAATATCCAATATTATTCTATCTATTATCCCTGTTATTAAAAACCAAACAGTAGTTCCGATTAATGATTATAGTAAATACCGCCGTGCTTTGTTCGAAATCATTATTAAGCCATGATGCAAACCAAATTCTCCACCCACAGGGAATTCCGAAAGCAGGAGAGTTGCCGAAAAAAGTATCGAATATGACAAGATCTTAGTGTGAAGGGTACATTACCTTGTAATCAGTTTTAGATATCTTTTTGCCTTTTTCAACTTCTCATTCAGCTTCTTTGCCCACGTGAGTCCTTTCCCACATTCATCTCCTAGCTTCTCAATGATCTCTTGCAGTTCTTCAAACGCTTTAGCTCCTTCTGCAGAAAAGTTGTCGAGACCCTGTAGCGATTTTCGTACGGACGCTGAACACACATTCAATATACGGCATAAGGTACTTCTACTCATTGGAGAAAAGCCAGACTCGTTGCAATGACTTTCGTACTGTTTCACAATTTGCGCAGGAATCATTGTTCTGATGATATTTGGTACTTTTACTTGAACGTTTGAGGACAGTTTAAGGGACTTCTCTCCAAAGGGTAAATCTTGAACGATATGCGCACTTGTAATGAAAGACAGGCAGTGGTCAAGTTTTTCCGGTAGAACATGTATCCGGGCAGATGAATGGACAGGAACAACTGAACCTCTACCATGCAAAAGACGATGATGTCTGGCAATATTATAACGATACCTGGATATGTCTGGTATCTATTTTTGTAGATCTTTGTACGATACCTTATCTGCAATGATCGACATAATCTGTCTGCGGGTACTCCAATGACTGGCATTGTTGTAGCGTTCAGAAAGTGCTTCCAATAGGGTGGAATCGACATTGTTGCAAGCTCTGTGGTCATTTACTACTATATCTAGAAGATGTTGGTGGTCGTGAGGAGCAATTTCTTCAAGGCATGCGTCGACAACTTGTCTTGCCTTTCTAGTGTGTAGACGTTTTGTTCTCTCCGACGCTGAATCCCATGACGTCACCAAGGAGTGACGGATTGGGCTTTCGTCTCGTGAAGCTAAAAATGCATTTAGGTGGTCTCTTGCAGTAGTCTCGCAGTACTTTTCTTCTTCCTCTGTGAAGGATATAAATAGCGCTTCTGAAGGTTGATAAATGGAGACAGGTGTATCCACTTGTAATTCAGTGGTGTGTGCGGTTGGAGTTGCAACATTTAATTGTGTCTTAATCTTTGCTTCTTTATCCATCTATAAATAGAACAGATCTACTTTCAACAACGACTAACATCTGATCACATTACCCTTTCAAGGTAGCCCATGGAATAAATATTTGAAACCAAGCGCGCATACTCATCAACTATTACAAAATATAAACCGCACGGCTGATTATCTAATCGGCTGATATACTGAAAGATTACCGTGTTTGTGTACATGGGCGTACCGGAAGGAAAAAATTAGGGGGGGCGGAAAGAAATTTTCCCGACTTTTTCTGATTTTTCCCGACCAAAAATTTTTTTCGGAACAATTAATTTTGGCGACCCCCAAACCCCCCCCGTCGCCAAAAAAATTTTGGTCAGTGTACCATTTTAGGGGTCCATTTTAGGGCTCCATTTATTTATGTAATAACCCAATATTGCCCGACTGTGAAGCGAATATTGCCCAACTGGCTTTGTTTGCCCAACAAACTGGGGTTATTATTAAGAGAGATTTTATTGCTTTGACTACTTTTTGCCCGACTTTTGTTGAACATTTGCCCGACTTTTCGACTTTGTAATCTTTTGGGGGGGCAGCTGCACCCCTGCCCCCCCGTCCCGTACGCCTATGTTTGTGTAAGTGGATAAAGACATGCTCACGCACAGTTGTTCAAATATACCTATAAAAATACTTTTGGAGCTGAATAGCACTGAAAAGCAAGAGAATCACTAAGGCCTAAAAAAATACCTGTGGTTCCGGTTTCATATCGCAAAAAAAATTAGGGTCGGTAGGTCGGAAATAATTTTTTTTCAATATTTTATTTGATGGTTTTTTCAACAATTAGTGTGACAACGTACAGACGCCATTTTGGCAGCAGCCCGCAATCACCCGAAGAAAATAGGGTCGCACGGTCAATTAGCCTTTCTCACGCTAACGAATATCCGCCATTTTTGGGTGGCATCTAATTCTCGTCAAAAAATGCAGACAATTAAAACAATGTGAAAAGCAATTTTTTAAAATAAACTAACTATTTACCGAGCAAATTTACCATCATTCGTCCAAAAAACTATAAAACGTCGCTGTTATGTGGACTTATCTCGCAGACTTCGGCTGAAAAGCACCACAGGTGATTTTTTAGGCCTACGCTTGCTTTTCCTGTGTTCTACAGCTCCCATGCAGCGTGTGTCAATCAGCTAGCACACTCACAATGTGAAGATTTTCAAAATCCATTACGACATCTGATACATCCTCATTTAGCTCCCGACTCAACTTCATTTCGCAATTAGTGCACATTCCTAAAATGAAAAGTACAGCATATTTGTGCTCAGTGTTGGTTATGTTTCAAAATTCAGATCACTGAATATATGACTTTTGCGGATACTCACCAGAGCCAACTTGGATAAGTTTCTCGCTGGCATTTAAAAGTATTTCAGATATGCGTTTACCGACACCTCTGTCTGCCCTGGGTAGCTTTCCTTTGTGTCCAGATACCTCTTTTGGTATTCTACATCTCGTATTGGAGCCCCGACTCCACCCAACACCAAGCACAGAATGATGGTTTGGACAAATAGTAATCTCTTCTATGTTATGTGGTGTTTTAAACATACCAGCACGAGACAGTATTAACTCTTTGTCGACATGCTACATTTTTCACGGCAAGCAATATTCTGATTCAACTGTTTGATTACGTAAATATTTCAGCGCGTATTCACCCCCCTTGAAAACAAAGAACACCATTGAAATCCTAACAAAATAAGCTTTTCAACGGGGGGTCTAATGCCGTCAAAACAAATACACAAACCGAAACAATCATATATTTACTCACAGCTTGGCCAAACATTCTGTATTTTCATATGGAGAAAAAGTTGAATATTTTCTAAACTGTTCAGAATTCGCCGCAAGATAATCTTAGTGAAATATTCCTCAAGCGCTTTTATGTAGAAAGTTTCGTTTGAATGCGGCGAGTAGAAATTTTATTTTGATTTTTTTGGAATATCTGGTTTCATCGGGTTTTCACTCGCACGCGCGTGCTGCATGTAAAATTGGCCAATAAGAAGTATCCCGTAGCCCAATGCACGTGCAAATCACGCTACAGATGTAATTTGACCTTTAGAATCGATTTCCGATGTTTTCCGAACGCTAGGATGTAAACACGCGATGTTTTCGCAGACTAAAGTGTATTTCCGGTTAAAAGTATCCCGCTGATTTCATTAGTTTCGCAACAGATTGAAATACCGAAATTAAAGACGAAATACTAAGGCTACAATCTTGAAAATAATACTTTCTATAGTGTTTTTGATTCTGTTTCGAATAAGACTATAGCGAAAACGATATCTCAAAAGGGGGCGAAGTTATGTTCGGCAAAACGTATGGATAGTTTACATTGTTCGAGACAATTGATTAATTTTATGAAATATGACACCGCTTGACCTGTCGAAAGGTCATGAATTGTTGTACAATTTCACTAAAACTATATTTGACTAAAACTATCGATAGGTATTAGGAGATATTGTTTCACTGAATCGAATGGTGGTATTTTCATCTACATAGCATGCACCGAACCGAAGATATTGAATCTGGAAGTCCATATTGCTCTGAAGCAATACGTTAATAGGGGCGTGTCGTCAAAGAGTTAACTCCACTTCATTTTGAGGGCCAGAAAACTTACAACATCGTAGGTGACTACTGATGTCCTTTTTACATGAAAGTATAGGTATCACCTGAGTGGCATGTGTACGGTCTTTACGATCAAAGCCACAGAATCCGCCAACAGTAGCCTTAAGGGAACAGCAAATCTCCATAATTTATATTAATATTCTAATAGCGAGAGAGCATCGACATCATAGCGTCATAGCATTGACGACATAACGGTCATAGCGTTTGTTGTGAAATCACAGTGATGAGTGTTAGCAGTTAGGGAGCAGTCATTATTAATGCCAGGGGGGGGGGGAGCGGAAGATATTTCTAAACTCATGGTAAATTTTTCATGGCCCCTCATTCCTTCAAAATATTTTTTCATGGCCCCCCCTTTAAATATAATAAATTTTCATAGCCCCCCCCTCTTCCCCTGTGATTGAACTTGCATTCCAAACATATACTAAGATCACAGGCGGCCCAATCTCGCAAGCGACGTCTTGGGCTACTGTGGTGCTTGATTTTCGATGGCTGGGGGGAGCGGGAAATCAAAACAACAAGTCCAATATGGCGGGGAAATTTATCTTTATCTTGTATAAAAACCACATGGACGAATTCAATTGAACTAAATTTTGGCACAAGAATGAGTTTAAAAAACATAGTATGACAAAAAGAGCCTGTGGAGAATACCTGGAAACAGTTTTAAGAAATAATCTCGACGAGATGCAGCGAAACGTGACTATGTAAGTCTGTATAAATACAATTTATAAAGATTTTCTTAATAATTTCATATGTTATTTGAGTTTGAATCATTTGTCCATATAGTTTAAATTATGTGCCTTTATGAGTTTATGATCATTTCCCAAGTTTTTTTATGCCAAATTGCTTACAAAAGAATTAAAAACTCTTGACAAAATGAAGTTGAATTTTATTGAATTTCATCATGCTATGCATAAAATAAATAATCACTTGGGCAAGTCGTGCAATTAACACTGGCAATTAATTAACAGCTTGTGCAATTTTGGCGCATTTTTCGAATATTACTCGTAGTGTCAATATAATTAATTGCACTCCTTCCTGTGTGATTACCTATACTTATATTGCATTGACATTTATATTACAGTGAACTATAATGCTGATGTTTTATGATTATTGTACATTAGTATAATTACATAGGTGATTATTGAAAATTCTCCACGCTGATTGGTTACCGTTGAGGTGATTATTACGCGATAATCACCTAAGCGATTTTCAAAATGGCGGCCGAAGCCGTTTTGTCAATTGAAAGGCGAAGAAATGTGCATTTTAAAACTTTTTTTCAAATAATCACCTATGAAATTATCCTGAAACAACATCGACTTCGTCTCGGTTTTTATTCACCGATAATCACCTCGCCTTCGGCGAATAATTGTTAATTATTTTTGGTGGCCCCCCCTACTTTTCTTTGATATTTTTGGTAGCCCCCCCTAACTGGTTGATAAATTTTTGGTGGCCCCCACAAATATCTTCCGCCCCCCCCCGGCATTAATAATGACTGCTCCCTAGCTAGCAAAGCATTTGTTCACTTGTCTGCATGTTGTGTAAGTGAGATTTAATATAACTACACAGTAATTATAAACAACTGCTGGCAAGAACCTGGCAAGGATATCACTCAAAGTTTGTCAAGGAAAATTTAATATACTAAAATACTAAATAAATACAAGTGTGCAGACAGTACAGCAAGGACTTTGAAATAACCATAACCATAACCAGCTATAAAACCCTACGCAAATACAGAGGGCCGAAGCAAGTGCCAAATCAAAAGAACAATAAAATTTACAGAATTGCCAACCATTTACAGGTTGTTATGTCTGCTATTAATTTGCTGTTCATATACTTTTATGTTCGTAGTATAATTTAACTTTGTAGTTTGTACTTCTGCTTCGCATTTCTAGAATATATAAAATTATTTTTTATCAGTGAAAATGAAGCAATCTGATTGGCTGAGGAGCCTTTCAGAGCGGGACGGTTTTTTTCATCCGGCCCGCTTTGAAACGCAACTGCCCCTCTCTCCTCCGCAGAGGCTTTAATTGGCTATGAAGGCGCGAAGCCTCTGCACGATGCTATACCCAATATGGCGGTAAACCGGAGGGGGGCGTATAATTATCAAACGCAAAATTCAAGTCAAAATGACTGAGAGAAAATATCTCTTTACAATACTGGCAATACTACAACAAGCTGACAAAGAGATTATTTACTAGCTCTACGAAATAAGAAAGTGTTATGTTGAGTTTGCGAGAAAACAACTGCATTTTTTCTAGACAAGGTCTCCATCTACAGTATAAAACAATACATGGAAACATTTCAACTTCAGCAATATTTATAAACAAACGCGACCTTCAGTCGGTTTCGACCTGATTTATTTGGAGGTTCGTATCTTTGGTTCAATATACGCTATGTAGATGAAAATACCACCGTTCGATTCAGTACAAAAATATCTCCTAGTTTCTATCGACAGTTTTAGTGAAATGTCAACACTATAGCGATTTATGACCTTTGAAAGTCAAGCGGGATTTTGTATATTAATATCAAATCACGCAATGTTTACACTTGATAAATATAAACTAGGCATACCTTTCGGCGAACATAACTTCGGCTCCTTGGGACGCATCGTCTTTGTATTACTCTTGTTCGAAAGCGAATTCAAAACACTACTTAAAGTGTTATTTTTGAGCTTGTATCTTGAAAACTTCATCTTTTATTATGGTATTTCCATTCCTGGTCTGATTGTGAACTAATTCCCGAACATCAGCGTGTGACAGGCGCGTGCGACTGTGCGAGTAAAAACCCGATATTTTGAAAAATTAAAAAGAAATATTTCTACTGGCCGTATTCAAAAGAAATTTTCTACACGAAAGCGCTTGAATACAAGGAGTATTTTACTTCTTTGACTGGTGGCGAATTCCGAAGAGTTCAAGAAATATTCAAGTTTTTCTCGATACGAAATACAGAATGTTTGGCCAAGCGGTGAGTAAAATATACGATTGTTTGCTTTGTGTATTAAATGTTAAAAATATTACTTTTGACCATCCACAAACATGCAAGCACTAGTCAATGAGGTCAATCAATCATGCATTAAATAATGATTTAATTTTCAAAAAGACGTTTCTTGTTTAGCTTAAAAATCACCTTTTGTTTCGATGTTTACACTTTGTCCCACTTTGTCCCACTTTGTCCCACTTTGCGATGCAAATCGTGCAGAGGCTTCGCGCCTTCCTTCGCCTTTCCCTTTGCCGCCTGCGCTCCTTCCCCCAGCGGCTACGCTCGTGTTCCAAGATCCGCCATGTAAAGTGTAGTGAAATGTATCTCATTGTAATATTAAATCCTAAGAAAACTAAAGCCTGTGCCTCTGCGGAGGAGAGAG